TATGAAAAGGGACACCTACACATCCGATGACGACTCGGATTCCCATGATGAAGCCATTCCACCAAGACAAAGGGCTTCTTCAGAAAGTAGCTATAGTGAGAGTGATCTTTTACCATTAGCAAGATTAATTCCAGCGCAGTTGCACGAACCATCTACTTCAACACACATACACACACATACACACACATACACACATGAAGAGCCTATTTGCAAAACTGCCTATGTCAATTTTTTTCAAAAATGAGTTTAAACCACCAATGTATAGTATGTGAACATAGGTACCGTATAGAGTACTTTTTTTTATTGAAAAACAGCCTACATCATTTTCTCTCATTTCTCCAAAATGAACATAGGCAGTTTTGCCAATAAACTACATATATATATATATATATATGCATGTTGAGATAAACTTGCTAATTGCTTTCGCAAATTTGCATTTATTTGAGGTCATCCATGCGCTGGTGAACGCAGTCATCGCACGAAGCCTGAGGAAACGGACCGCCGGCTGAAAGTTAAGTAGAGTTTTAACAGAACCTACTATTCTCATACTGTAGCATGTTGAGGTTAGCGCAATTGTAATAGATATTGTCTAAGAAGTATTTTGTTCGACAGGAATTCACAGATGTTAAAAAGCTTACCTTAAGATACTGTATGCTAACAACATAGAATTAATATTCGTCATTAATATAACATTTTCACGGTGTATGCGTATGTGTGTGCGTGTATGCGTGCGTGCGTGCGTGTGTGCGTGCGTGCGTGCGTGCGTGTGTGCGTGCGTGCGCGCGGGTGTGTGTGTGTGTGTGTGTGTGTGTGTGTGTGTGTGTGTGTGTGTGTGTGTGTGCGTGTGTGCGTGCGTGCGTGCGTGCGTGTGTGTGTGTGTCCGTGCTTGTGTTTGTCCGACCTACCTCCTCTGTCTCGCTGTATGCGCGTGTGTGCGTCTGGTTTAGTTCGTGTTGTATTTTTTGCGCGTGTGTTTCATTCCTCGTCGTGCATTAACACGTTAGTTAGTTTCTGTGAATACTGAACAATTTCTCTCTGCTTTGTAAAAATGTCATTTGCTCGATTAATCAGTAAGGTATTAGTTTGCAAGTCATGTCGTCATGACCTTGTTTACAAGAGAAGTTGTTGCATACAGTTAACAAATTACGTTTAATGTTAGATGTTAACAGCTGATGTTTTACAGCGACCAAATAGTTATTAAAACTAGATTTATTGAAAAAACAAAAGGATCAATTATAAGTCCTTATCGGTAATTTAGTAAAAACAAAAGAAAATAATACAAGAGAGTACGGGAATACAAGACTATACACTAGCGGTGAATAATTCGTACTATTACTATGCTACGTTAGCGTAATGATGCGTTCGGATGCTGAAGTGAGTTTCGATAACAGCTTTTATGTGTGTGCGTGTGCGTGTGTGTGTGCGTGTGCGTGTGCGTGTGCGTGTGCGTGTGCGTGTGCGCGTGCGTGTGTGTGCGTGTGTGCGCGTGTGATTAGCTGCGGCCGGCGGTGCGTGTGTTGTGTGTGTGTGTGTGTGTGTGTGTGTGTTGTGTGTGTGTGCGTGGCGTGCGTGTGTGTGAGTGCGTGTGTGGCGCGTGTGTAAGGGGATTTTTAATTAGAGTTCTCGTTCCCGTCGTCCCACACGGTTTGTCCGACGCCATTATTAATTGCTGTATATTATCTATTATATATTATATTGTATCTTAGTTTATATTTGTAAATATTGTATATTGTAGCTATTATATATTATACTTATTTTATAATATGAGTTGCCTGCATATTATCTATGCGAACTAGTGTTTCGGGGATTATATTCGCTTACTGCACAGATCTGCCATCCATTTAAATATGTCTGTGCTAAACTAGCAAGCGTATCTATCAATATTTGACGGCCTATGCTATACAGGATGCGTCTTAGCCTAATAAAGTATTCGCTAAGGAAGTTATGTTGATGGTGTGTGTGTGTGGATTCTAAAACGATCCAACATGGGAATCATCGTACGATACGATACTGAGAAGCATAGAAAAAAAATAATGAGAAAATATTTAGGCTTTTTAAATGAGGTCGTGTCTGTGGCCTGTCTTTCTACCGGTGTGCAATGATGGCACTTCGCAAATATGCTCAGAGCTCTTTAATCTCTAGCTTGTTTGCTTATATGGTGAAGATGACATACGCTACGATGTTATTAATGTGTCATCAAAATGGTAAGACATTTTGTACTTTGTAGAAAACCAAGGGCTCGATGGATATTTTTTTGTTTTATATGGGCAGATGATATTACAGAAATTGATATGTGTGTTGATGTAACGACGAGGATTAAAAATATGCGCGGCAGCAGAGACACAAGCATACAATAACACATGCATACATGCAGCACATGCACACATACACGCATATGTAATACACGTGGAAATACTTGATTTCACATTTTGTAACCAGAACAACAGCGAAAGCTGGGACTTAGTAATTCCGTCCTTATTATCGGCGTTCGTTCACCATTCACACTAAGTTCACTTCATAGTTATTTTTTTCTTATATGGTCGGGAACCTGTTTTAGCCAATGGAGAATCTTA